GTGCGTGCGTGTGGGTGTGTGTGTGTATGGAACGTTCCACGTCAAATGGAACAAAAGTATCTGATCAAAATTTTTTGATTCAGAAAGATTCAGAAATCTTTCTAAATCTTCCATAAAAAATTGATTTTTTTTAATGGGAAAATTTTTTTTTCACTTTATCATAGATTTTTGGGGTTATTTGAACGGAACTCTTACTAAAACCTATAGGGAACTCTAAGAACTCGTCGAAATCTTTCCGGAACTACCATAAAAAGTTTATTTTTTCGAAAATAGGGGCGTTGTGAAGTTAGCCCCCCATTTTTAAAATGGCGTTTTCGTCACTTTAAATGACGGAACTTTTTCTAAAATCAATAGAGAACTCTAGAACTCTTGCTGGGGCATTCAGAACTCCAATGAATTTTTTCGAATTTTGAAAAAGGGAAACCAACTTCACAGACGTAAGTTTTTCATCTACTCCAGCCACCATATTGGAGCAATTATTTTGAATGTTTCAAAAACCCACGTTTTTTTCTTAAACTACACTTAAACTCTTAAGCCCGGTCTACAATTGCGTAAACGTAGGGTTGTAGGAGTAGGAGTGTAGGAGTAGTAGTAGTCGTGAATCTTGTACAACGGATCAATCTACAATAGAGTAACGATACGTTGTAAACTTGATTAAAGCAACCAATCAGAGTGCAATGTGTATTTCAAATGTGGACGGTTTAGCAATCTGATTGGTTGGCTCTTACGTTCACATCTGGCGTAGTCGTGAAAGATGAAGTTCAAACATCTTCCACAACACGTTTTACAACCGCAGTACCGCTTTACAACCACGCCGTACAACACTCTTACAACTACTTACGACCACGTTTACGTAAGTGTAAAACAGCCTTTAAAATAGGTACATAAAAACGAAAATTTTGAGCCCTTAAACGTCTTATTTCGAATCAATAAATTTTACCCAGATACTTGTCTACTTGACGTGGAACAATTTTCCCGTATATTTTATTTTATTTTATTTTATCTTATTTATTTCTTATATTTCCGTAAATATTAATTAACCATTAACAATAAAAAAAGGATAAATGATTATTATTGTAAATAATTTTGTGAATTGTTGCAGGAGTGGCATTATTAGGCGTTAGTTATTCTCTTTTGCCTTCAAGAAGAAAAAGAAATGTAAAGAGCGTTGTAGGAAGTTTGATTAGATTTACAAGATCAATGAGGATCGGTATAACGATATCTATGGATTATTTGATTGCCCCTGTAATAGGTTATACAGAATCAGAAATTCATCGAAGGTCCGCCGATCGAATCGTTCAGGGATGCTTACAGAACGGTGGAATATATATAAAGCTTGGACAAGGCTTAGCAGCGGTCAATCACATTTTGCCAAGAGAATATGTTGAAAGCTTGTCGATATTACAGGTATACTTTTACAGATAAAAAAATTGTAATTAAAGATTACAAGCAATTCTTATATGTAATGTTTAGAGCATAATGGGGGAATTGGCACCAGTTAAAAAAATATTATATATATTATATATATATATTATATATAATATATATGGGTCATTCTTTCTCAACGTTACCCCCATGCTGCCCATTTCATATTTGATCTAAAAATTTTCAAAAAATTCTTAAAATTTACAGAGAAATGTAAGCTTTCGAATGGTGCGTGGCTAAATTACCGAATTCAGTCAAATCATCCTCAAAATT